TTACTGTGCAAGTCACTTTTAAAACACAGTATGAAGAAATACTTTCCTTGCCTCATGAGCTTTTGCCCTAAAGGATTTTACTATGACAGGTATCTCAGATGATGCTTAGCTGCAGGTTTCAGTCATTGCAAGTCAGGGAGCAATACTCAGATCTCAGTTCTTTCAGTATAAAACCACTTTTTCTGCCTGTCCTTTGGGATTATTAAAAAAAAAAAAAGTCTAATGACAGCAGCTCTTGAACTGAAGTCTGTTCCCTCATCTAGATGACATGCTGCTTCATACTAAATCTGTCACTAGCAGCACATCCTTGCTGCCCACTCTGAAATGCCTTCGGGATGACGGGCTTCATAATTAATGGGAAAAAAAGAGCAGTCTCTCCTCACCTCAAAGTATGGGGATAAAAATAGGCTCAGTGGGGAAGATGGCTTTGAAACAGGAAAAAAAAAAAAAAAAGAAGTTGGTCTCCAAACCAACTCGAGTTGTTTTGCAAGGAAGTAGGAGGCTGAGGGCTTATTGCACACACGTGAGCACTGGTTGTATTGTTTTCACTTCAAGGTGACTTGCACTTAAACTGGCCTGTAATGAACTAGGAGCCGTGTCTAACCTGGTTTCCTAAGGAAATGAGGTCTCTGTAGGAAGCATGTAAGTCACTATCTGCCTTCCTTGAACATCTTTGAATCTGTTTTCCAGGTTCAAGCCAGTTTGAACTTAAGTTCATAAAAGCTTAATGAAAATAGGCAGCTGGGGAAAGAGGATAAATGTGTTTTCCCGGAGAGGAAAGTGGACTGTATCATGTAGCAGGGAATGCACATTGGGGAGAGCTTTTATCAGGGCTGCAGAAGCAGGGAAAGCTTTGATCAGCGCATGCCTCTGGAGAAGCCGCCTGCAAGACGCGGTGCCTCGGGAAGCCGGTGCTTGTTACGGCCCTGCAAATACATCTTGGGAAACGACTTCATTCCAGTCTGCAGTGTGAGTCTGATGGGGGTGACTGGGGGCACTCATGGACCTTTCCAGGGAGCCACGCTGGCTCCTGCCCCGTCCCCAGGGAGGTGCTGGTGGCAAGGCCCGAGGCAGACGTGTGTTTACGAGGAAGCATAAACAGGCACGGTCAGGCAACAGCTGATATTTTATTTTACAGTCGGACTATGGGAATCCATAAAAATTGCACTTAAAGAGATTAATGCCAGAGGCCTCCACCTTGCAGAGAAGCGCAGAAGGGGTTGTAGTTTGCAGGCAGGAAGGCAGTGAGCATCCCTACCCAGAGGCAGGGAGTTTGCAAGCCGGACAGGTTCTGGTGTGGTGTCAGAACGCTGTTTTATGCTTGCTTTTAATGGAAGAGATAGACTGGAATAGTAATAAAGGACCGATAAGTGAAAGGAAGACTGTAACCATGTAATTATGTGAGAATCTACTAGCAGCCGTGAAAGGCTGATGAAAAACCACATTATGCAGCTGCGTGTTGCAGAATACCATTAGTGAGTGCTTTGCAGCAGCAAGCCCAGCAATTTCAGGGCAGCATTGGGAGCACACAGTGAAAGCAGAGATAATGTTAGTGTAAAATATTTGGAGATAAACAAGTGTATAGAGGACAGGGATGGTCTAAAACTGGATACAGGAGAATCCTCAAACATATCAGCACCCAAGAGAAGGGCTGGGGGAAGTTATTTTAAACAAAATGTTTGACTGGGTTGTTGGGCACAGCTTGGAATAAGTTACATTTATTATAGAAACATTTTTATTGGCTTATCTGTAAAATGAAAGGCTGCAGTGCACTAAGCTATATTTTCCAACTATTCAGAAATTATGGATTGTTCAGGCTAATGGAAAAATCTAAGTTAAGTTAAAGAAGCTTGCAGAAATTTTTTCATTTAGGCATTTGGATTATTAGATGACATTCCTGTGGCTGAAATTTAGTAAACTATTTGGGGAATTAAATTGTTCATGGTTGTATATTCTGATACTCTGAGTATTTCCAACTCAAGGACCTGAGGAAACTGTGACTTACCAAGTTTCTTTCCCATTAATCTCTCACCCACCATAAAATGAGAATAAAGGTCCAATTCTATCCTGCACTTCCCTTCCTCTTCCCATTCTTGCGCAGAGCTTTTCATCCACAGTCAGGGAAGATTATGCAGGAACAAACTCAAAGATAAGAGTGTCCCCGCAGGCTTTACAAAATGATGTGTTCCTTCCAAGAGCTATCCCACATGACTATGGAGACCTTTCTCATCTAAGGAGAAAAATCAAAGCAGATTTCAAGGAGCTGCTGAAAGGATGTGCATGCTGGAGAGTTCATATGGTCCTGATTTTCTCTGTTGTGCTGGGTCCTCTGAGACATGCTACCCATGGAGCTTGCTTACAGAAAAACAGCATGGATCCTTTAAATATTTATCCTGCGTATTGTTTTCCAGCAGATACATGGAGATTTTCTTCTCACTTTAGTTTTAGAGATGGCTGAGCCAGTGTTAAATGCAGATAGTGAGTGTTCAATAGCATCTGTGCCCGCAGCAGTGCTTCCTAAGCCATTGCAAAGTAAAGGAAGGGGGAGTCAGTTGTGAGTGCTGAAACACTTTGTTCGGGGAATCCAGGCAATATATGTATTTTTGATGAAAATATATCAACAAGTTAAGTGCTAAGTGTGATAAGTGAAATCTCCAACAAATTAAGATTTAAGATAGTCAGGAGACATGCTTTTAGTTAAACGCAATGGTAAGACCATGTGTCCATAAAAGGTTAAGGCATTATAATTAAGGTATTATAATATCCATGTTTACTTGGGCTATTTATCCTCATTCTTTATATAGGGGAACAGTGATGCTCACAAAGTGCTTTTCACAGAAGAATATCATTATCTATGTTTTTATACGTGAAGAAGCTGAGGCTTAGAAATCTGAGGTAGCCTAGTTGAGGTACCAAAGCACAGCCGTAGTAGAGTTAAGAATGTTTTTTTCTCCTACCTGGGTGCACTATATACTCAACTATTCTGTTTTTAGTGGCGCGGTAAACTTATCTACTGATACCAAGAAATGTCCAATGTCCACAAAAATGGTGCCTCTGCTGAACAACTGTCACATCTGCATTGTGTCCATGAGGGTGTGTTGCCTTCTCCCAGGACATATTCCAAGGAAATATGCTGTATATGGACACCATGTCCACTTTAGACTTTGAAGATCTAGCTCATGTGTTTGCCTTTAAACAGTACTGTTAAAGATGTTCTTATAGTTGATGGTAATGCTTCCGAGGACAAGGTAAGCTTTGGAAGTTACCCTTCAGATACTGTTTATGTGCTTGCTGCATATGTTCTTACATCAGCAGAAAAAACCACTGATGATACAAACTTTAATTTCACAGATGAAGGAGCTCGGCATCATCGTGTACAACTGTAGCTGCCTCGTCCTGGATTTACAAAGGATATTTGCCTTGTACAGTTCATTAAAATACAAGAATAAAATACCTCCTAGTTGGTCCAAGAGGCTATATGGAGTGTACGATACACAAAATAAACTGACCCTGCAGCTGAATGAGACTAAGTCAGAGGCCTTTGTGTCGGTAAGTCCCGTATCGAGCATCTTGTCTTGTTTGCTGGAAGGAGGGAGGGAAGGGAGGAATCTTAATTATCACAGCAGATCTTTTGGAGGACCTGGAAATCTAAAACATCTGCTTACTCTTCTAATATTATCTGTTTTGGATAACTGAGCAGTGGGTTAGGTAGATGTTAGTAGTATGCATGAAAGAAACTCATACAGAGATATTCATAGTTCCCTACGTAAAGTCCGTCACAATTCTGTGTTCGCCCTGACAGATACTGGCTGGTGAAAAGCATGTTTATTACTGAATACTTTTGCTTTTGTGTTCTGTATTCTCTCTTTGTTTTAAAATTCCTCTGTTTTCTTTCTAAGTTGCTGAGAGAATCTGCACCACATAAGCCCTTTAGAAATTAACAGGACTGCTGATAAAATTAACGGGACTCTTAATGCAAACATATATGGTGTAAATTAAGCTGTGGTGTAAATTAAGCTGTGCTTAAGCATTTCTCTAAATTGGCCTACCTGAAGAAGATTCACATCGCTGCTAGGTACTTAGCCAAAAGAAGCTATAAATATTGCACATTGTGCCAGGGACTGGAAACTCGGCTACAGAGATAAGGCTGCTACACTTATCACTTACACAAGACAGAACTTGACGGGAAGTCTCACACTGCTGAAAAATCTAGTTGTTCTGTTCTCTGAGGAAATAGGCATTTCTATAGGTATACTTTCGTGGGGAAGTCTGTAACTGAAAGGTTTAAGAAACGTATTGTCTTTTCCTATTGTGCAGAAGAAACAAATCACATTTTTTCATTCCGATTTTGGTGACATTGTACCTGCATGTAGCTTGCCAGGACTGTGGAATTTAATCTGTGTATCATTCTTTCTTCTTTCCCTGTAAAGAAGACCACTTTTCTCACTCACATTCAGGAAGCAACAGGGCAGCCCTTCAAGGTAGCTCATTTATTTACACTAGTGGACATAAGCAAATGACTTGCAGTAAATGAATTGTTTATCAGACACCTAAAATGATATAATAAGCTTGCCATCAAAACTGGTATTTTTTATCGGTGTAGTTCGTAAGGATTAAACCTTTTCATCCTGATCCATTGAACACATGCATACTTCTGTAGTAGACTAGCTTTTATTTTTTAAATGGTATTTCAAAACCTTTAAACAACTGAGTTTAAGCTTGGCAAATACATATAGATGAGAAAAAGAGGAAAGAGAAAAATTAGAGAATGTCGTAAATCCCTACACTGTCCCTGTTTATATTTTATGGGTTGAGAGGAAGCAGTTCTCTTAGCAGTGATGCAGCAGAATTAGAAGAAAGATGCACAGGATGATAGAGATGGAGTACTGTCCCTTTTGGAGGTAATTACATAAGTAAAAAAAAAAAAAAAAAAAGATTTAAAATCAGGACTATCATGAAGGTGATGAAGTTTATTTACCACCCTGAATAACACAAGGGACAACCAACCCGATGCTTTATAGCCAGTTAAGTCCAAAATAACACAAGGCACGTAGCAGGCTGTGAAGTCACAGGAGCCTCGAGCACGGGGTGCTGGTGCAGATGTGTGGTTATATGGGGCAGGATTTGCCTGATACGTCGTGAGCCTCACAAAGTGCAGATGTCCAGGTTGTTCATCTGCCACAGTCAGCGGAGAGGGATGGCTGTTTTGGAATGAAATGCATGAAAATCTGAAAGTGCCTAATACAGCCAGGATTAATAGCCCTCTGAACAGCCATGTATTCCCATTGATTCTGGTCAGAGATGTGAGGACTGACTTGAAGTAGAAGACTGATTTTTGGACACCTAGCTAGAGATCTGTAAAATGAATCCCACCCAAAGTAGCTGCCCTTCTTAAAAGCAGCATGCAAACTCCTACCTCTTCAAAGCATCTGAAAAGAAATG